ACACCTGCAAAGCCTGTTTCTGCCTCCAGTTTATCCTTCTCTGGGCTCCCAGTGAGGGGAGCCCCCGCTGTCCAGTCTGTCAGCGGATGCATCTGTCCCCTCCCCCAGCCAGGAGCACGTGGGGGATCACAGCAGCTTCTTCATCAGTCTGCAGGCACTGGCTGTGGCTGAGCTCCCCGGAGCCTCCGACCAGCAGGCCCGAGGCCAAGGTGGGGTGTTGGCTGTGGGTTTCCTTGTGTCCGGACCCTCACTGCTTCCTGACCCTGGGTGCTCCGAAGTGGGCTGGGGTGATTGTTACAGGCTGGTAGCTTCCCTGTTGTCCTGCCAGGCCTCCCTGACATGTATCAGAGCCCACCCCATGCTCCCAGCAGCCCTCCGCGGGGTGGGAGAGGCCACAGGAGGGGGTGCAGCAGTGTGGCTGTGTTACCCGCCCCCGGGAGGCCCCTCCTTACCTGGAAGGAGAAAGGGACCCAGCAGGTCTGTCAATGGGGGCTGTGGGCCTAGGCTCCCTGTGGGTCTCGGGGGTCGCCCTGTGAACCCACAGAGCTTCTCTAGGGAGAGATGGGTCTGTGGCCTTGGATAGGTCCTCAAAGGGGCCCGTGACCAGAGAGAGGACAGAAATGTGCCCTGCACGCTTGCACGCATGCACGGGAAGCAGATAAAAGTGGGCTATAAAAAAAAATCATTTAAAAAATAAAAGTGCCCCCCCAATGCAGGCCCCATCTTCCAGAATCTGTTGTAACAGATTCGCCCAAGCTGGTTAACGGTATTTGCGGTTTGCAAGATGCTACACGTCCCTGGAAAATGACAGACAACTTATTATCACCTCTCCACTCTCCTCCTGTCCAAACCTGCCCGTGCCGGGCACCCAGCTGCTGGGGAGCGGGTGCGAGGAAATTAACAGCCACAGAGCCGCGGCGCCTGCCACCCACCACCCCCGCCCAGCCCTCCCAGGCCCTGGGCTCCCAGCCAGACCCAGCCCATCGCAGACTGTGATGGGGGGAGGGAGGGGGAGGGTCCGAGTGGGGGAGGGCAGGGATGGGCATACACCAGCATTTGGACAAACCGTTTCCTGCCAGCGCGGAGGAATACACGCATCCCGGAGCAGGCAAGTCCAGGCGGCTCTGTGTCAACAGCCGAAGATAAATAAGATTTTATCAGCTCAGAATCTGTTGAAACACATCCATCTAGCGGTTCTAGGGAAGGAGAGGCAAGAGGGAGGGAGGGAAAGGAAGCGTCTTCGCGTGACCTTTCCTATAGAATAGATGGGACCCAGGAGTCTTCCTTCCCACCTGCCCAGGGCCTGGGGCCCAGGAGCTACGGGAGGAAGGACGGAGCTGCTGGAGCTGTAAGGGCTCATGCCCTCTTCAGCGCAGGCCCCCGCTCCTGCCCGTGTAGCCCAGCCAGATGCCCCAGGTATAGGCAGACCTCAGGCATCCCTCAGCGTGATGCTCAACCCCGAGCGCCCCAACGCCCCAAACGCCCCAACGGTTGGGCTTCTGTGGGCTCAACCCCTTGCAGGGATGGGCCTGGCCGGTGCACGTGCCCAAGGCCACATTAGCAGCCAGCTGGGGGTGGACCTGGGCTGGGGACACCCCTGTGGGGAGCGGGGCCAGGCCCAAGGCTGGTGGTGGCCTTGCCAGGGACACAGAGGGAGGAAGCCGCGCGCACTCTCCTCGCCCACCCCAGGCGGCCCCGCGCTCACCGCCCAGCCCGCTCCGCGCCGGTACCGCGGACAGCTCCCCGCGGCTCCTCCCCGGGGCGGGGCGCCCCCCGCCCGCCCGCCGCCCGCGCCCGCGCCGCCGCGGGTTCCGCCGTTCCCCCCACTCTCCCCGTCGCACCGGGACCTCGGCCCGACTCCTGACACGAAGAGCACCCGGGGCGCCCCCGCCCCGCTGGGCTGCAGGACCTCGAGAGGGGGGCTCCGAGCAACCGAGCCCCGGGTTGCGCTTGGAGTCCTACTCCATCCCTGCTGGCTGGTGAGCCAAGGCGCCTGGCCCTTGCGGAGGCTGGGGGGAGGCTACAGACCCCACCTCGGGCTGCGGAGGGAGCAGGAGGTCGGGTGATTGACTGAGGGGAGCCGCTGGTTGGTCGCTCTGGGGAGGGGATTGCAGGGTCTGCACGCCCCTGGGGGCACTCTCCACTGCTCACCGAGGGGCCAGGAACCATCTCACGTGGGAATGACCACAGCACTAACAAGTCCGCTGCGAAAACGGTCCAAGGGTATTAAGTGTAGTCAGTCACTGTGCCCCTTCCCCGCCAAGCCTCGGAGAGGTTTGTCCAGTGGTTTACAGCCTCCCAGGGGCTGAGGACCAGAGCCAGATCTCAAAGGCCATTCTCCCACTGCTCACCCGTGACTATGACCTGCCCCTCCCAGGCCAGGCCTGTTTCTCAGCGTGTCTGCCCACCCCCACTCTCACTTAGGGACGAGGCAGGCCACCTCTCAGCCCCCGGTCACCTCACTCACTGGACACCTCTGCGGGCCTCCTGGGGTCCCCGCTGACCCTGCAGGGGACGGGGATGCCCTCTGGAATGCACCAGCTGCCGCAGAAGGGCAGGGTCCCACTGGTCACCAGCTGAGGCCGGCCAGTACCAGGGCTGCGTGGCTTTTAGCTGTGAGCCTCCAGTAAGTCTAGATTCTTCTGCGGCTTGAAGGGGCTCTCAGCCCAGTTTCCAGTGAGTCTAGGGCCTGGCAGACAGTAGGCACTCAACAAACGCTTGCTGGCTTCACCGGGTCCTTAGTTGTGTTTGGGCCCCTGCAGTCCAGCCAAGGCTCATGGTTCCCTGTGGGGGCCTCCTCCACCAGGAAGACCCCCTGGGTGACTGCTCTTGTGCTGAGCCTCTCGGTGTGCCTCCAGGATGCTTGCCAGGCCGTTCCCTGCCTGACACTCTACCTGCACGTTGTCTGAGGGTCAGGGACCGGTCCTGAAGCCTCACTTGTGGGCGGACCAGAGAGCTGGGTGCTGAACTGGCTGGCACCTAGTGCTTGCTTTGGGCTGGGCTGAGGCTGTTCTGGGCACAGTCCTTGGGGCAGGGTGCCCAGCTTATGCCCCACACTGCTGCTTTGGAGAGTGAAGTGGGAGCATATATACTGATGGGGACAGCAGAAGTCAGCGGTCACCCCCTGGGAAGCAGGACTGACCCCCACAACAAGCAGGGAGCCCCCCACTCCCCTTGTGGCCCCGAGCCCGCCCTTAGGCAGCCCTGTTTTCTGCTTTTCCCAGCAGTGCCTCACCCCCACCCGCAGGGCTGTGCGGGATCATTCTTTCCTGTATTTTAAACAGGTCTGGGAACTCTGCTTCCCCCCCCAGAGGTGGAGGTCCCAGATATGGGGTGGCAGGTGGGACTGGGCTCTGGGGACCCCAGTGAGTGGGGCACCTGTGAGGGGATGAGCCCCAGGGGCATCCAGTTCCTGTCTGTGATGGGGGTGGGAAGGGTGCGTACTGAATTCTGCGCCACGGGAAAGTTGAACAGGGTCCGAGGACACCACTAGGGAGACCCCAGCCCACTTGTCCCCCAAGTCTCCTTGGACTCCACTCTGGGGACGGGTGAGTGTTTCCGGGATGGAGCCCCTGCCAGCTCATCAGGGGAGGGATGGCTCATACTGTGGGACCAAGGGCTTTGAGGGCCCTGGGGACCCCTCGTTCTCGGGCTGCAGGTCAGCCCCATCTCTATGTTTGCCACCCCTTGGTTTTTGTATACTTGCAGTTGCTGAAGGTATGAGTCCCTGAGGGCCCATGGTATCCCTTGATGGCCAGAGATGGAGCTCTGGTGGCCGGTGGGGGTTTTACCTTTGCAGGATGAGGGTGTCGGGCCCCCCAGCCTCCTTGGCAAAAGTGGGCTGAGACCAGCTCTGGCTCTGCCAGCCGCTCCGGCACCCGGCCTCAGTCGCCCTGACTATACCATGGTGGGTACAGTTCCCGCTGTGAGCCTAAGCCCCAGTCTGTGCTCCCCGGTCTGCTGCGATGCACCGCGTGGTGGGGGCCAGACCCCAGCCGGACACCTGTCTGTAGTGGTGTCCCTGGTTCAGTACGGTTTCCCTGGATGTACTGCGGTGGGGTGTGATGGGGCTCCCTCCAGGCTTTGTGGCTGGGATAACTCCAGGTCACTGGGGCTTTGTGGGGGGCATAGGGATTATGGGGTGGGGACGGGAAGTGTCCTGTGAGTCTGAGGACAGGAACACTGCCCACTGTGCCTCAGGGAAGGAGATATGAAGAGCACGGATGGGTCCCCAGAAGTCAGTCAACTTGACACCAGTGGGCACTCCTGTGGCCACCATCAGGGTCACCTTTGAACTCATGAGAGCTGGCCAGGGTTCTTAGGTGGGTGATGGGGTCCCCTGGGTGCTGATCCTCCCTGGGACAGGGTCCCAGGCTGCAGGGACCAGAGCTTTGAGGTCAGAGGGCCCCCCAAGCCAGTGGCCCATACCAAGCTGCAGAGCTCAACCCCTCAGACTTGCTGTTCTAGGGAGTTTCTTCCTGAAGCTTCGGTGCATAGGGGCACCCAGCCTATCTCACAATTACACGTTTCTCATCAAAATACCAGAAAAGCCTAACTCTGGGTTTTTAAAAACTGAGATGCAATGCTGCAAATCCCCTCCTTCCAACCACTGTGGGTCCCGGGGCTGAAGGTTGACGGTGGGAAGAGCTGGGCTTGGCAGGGCAGACCTGGCTCCCAGCCCCGCTCTCCAGCAGCAGCTCGCTTCCCCGGCTTTTACCGTCCTCACCCATAAGATGGACGTAACGTGCTAACCTCTGCAGCCAGTGAGATCCAGACAGACAGCCCAACTGCTCTCCCTGCACCCAAACCGGCCAGGTGCTGCTGCGTGCATGAGGGGGGGCCCGGAGGGGGCACTGGAAGGACGGCTGGAGGCATCCAGCGAAGGGGCGAGCAGGTCGCCGGAGAGCTGGGGGCGGGATTCCTGACGGGGGGTGGGGCCGCGGCCGCGCCAGGGTGCTGAGTCGGGGCTGGGCCTGAACCCTGCCCCCCACCCCCACCAGTACTCCCCACTGCTGAAGAAGCTCTACTGCCAAATTGCCAAGACCTGCCCCATCCAGATCAAGGTGTCCGCCCCGCCGCCCCCAGGCACCATCGTCCGCGCCATGCCCGTCTACAAGAAGGCGGAGCACGTGACTGAGGTCGTGAAGCGCTGCCCCAACCATGAGCTCGGGCGGGACTTCAACGAAGGTGAGACCTCCAGCCCCATGCCCAGCGGCCAGTGCACCCTGGGAAGGGCCTCCTGGCTGGGGGGCGGCAGGGGGCGGCGGCGTGGGCTCGGTGTCTCCCCTCCCCAGCCCCCTTCCGTCCCAGCGGCACCTGGGGCCTCGGGGGCGGGTGCCCACGGGACCGCGGGCTGCTGGCCTGAGTCCCCCCACCCCGGAGGCCAGTGGGGCCGGCCCTGTGGTCCCCAGCTGGCTGCCACAGGGCTGGCCCGACCCCGGCTGGGCGCCCCTCTGAAGCGGTGTCCCCTCGCGGCAGGACAGTCTGCTCCGGCCAGCCACCTCATCCGCGTGGAGGGCAACAATCTCTCGCAGTATGTGGATGACCCCGTCACGGGCAGGCAGAGTGTCATGGTTCCCTACGAGCCCCCGCAGGTAGGCGGGGGGAGCACTCAGGTCACCTCAGCCAGCCCCGCTGGCCCCAGCATCTCCTGCCACGTAGCAAGCTCCTCGCCCTCCCCCGCCCAGCCCCCGGCACCCACTCCGACCACTTGTGTGCGGGTCTAGGTGGGACCCCCTCGGGCCCTCTCCGGCTGTGGGAGAGAGGCCGGTAGGGTGCACGCAGGGTCTGCAGGTGAGGGATGGGGCCAGAGTGGGAGGTGGGCGGGGTGGAGAGCCCCCCCACCCCCGCCAGGGCTCTGCTGTGACCCAAAGGCCGCAGAAGGTTCTGCCGAGGGCTCAGCTGGAGTGAAAAGCTGGGGGTGGAGTCAAGTGGGGGTGGGGGGCTGAGCAGGGATGGTGGGTTGGTGGTGGGATGGGGGTGGGGGCTGTGCCGCCGGCTTGGGCCCTGTGTGCCATGCTTCCCAGGGTGAGTGGGCACAGTGAGCCTCCACCTTTCCTCTATCTGGCTCTGGCCCCCAGACTGCACTCAAACCCCATCCCTGTACCTGGCCCCCCACCCTGCCAGCCCTCCTTCCCCAGCCTACGCTCACCTGCCAGAGTCCGCCAGGAAAGCAGGGCTCTCCCGCCCCCTGGTGGCTGTCATGTGTCAGCAGTTTTGTGAAAGGTTGGGTTTGCCTACGCCAGCGACCGAGTTTTAGCTCCTGACCCAGGGAGACCATGACAACTGCCCATTTTTGTGGTCCTGGGATGCCCAGGGGTCAAAAGTCCTGGGTTCATGCCTCAGCTGTCCACAGACTCCCTGGGAAACGGCCCGAGCTGGAGATGGGGGTCCTCTCAGATGGCTCTGGTCCGTCCCTGCCAGAGCCGTGCACCGTTCTGCCCAGGAGAGCCCACAGCAAGCAGAACACACATTTGTACCCACAGAAACCTGTGCACCTGCCCGCCACTGACACCCAGCCTCCAGGGCTTGACCTCTAATCTGTGTTAGGGGAGATGGCTGGAGCAACCAGACCATAGGACTCTGCCTCCGAGAGCCAGCATGGTGCATGGCACTCCATGTACTGCATGAATGGAAGGATGGACGGGCAGGCGGATGCTGGATGGTTTGGATGGGGGGATGAGTGCATGCAGGTGGATGGATGGATGGATGAGTAGGTGGGTGGGTGGATGGAGGTGGATGGATGGATGGATGGATGGATGGGTGGACAGCAGGTAGATGCATGCAGGTGGTTGGACGAATGGCAGAGGACCACAGTGCAGGAGCTGCCCCACCCCATGCCTACCCAGAGTCAGGACCCAGCCCAGGAGCCCCCACCTCAGTGGTTTGGGGCCTGCATGCTGGCAGCACAGCCGTCCCCCCACCTCTCCTGTGTGCAGGTGGGGACAGAATTCACCACCATCCTGTACAACTTCATGTGCAACAGCAGCTGTGTGGGGGGCATGAACCGGCGGCCCATCCTCATCATCATCACCCTGGAGACCCGGGAGTGAGTCTGCTGGGCGTGTGGGGTGGGGAGGCTGGACTGGGGGGCTTGGGGCCTTGCTGCTGGGGGCTGTGCATGAATCTGGGGCATGGTAAGGGATGGTGCTAGCCCTGGAGGTGAGTTTAAGGAGTGACAACCCTCCCACCCCCACCCCGGGCTGCATATGGCTACCTGAGCAGGGGCTGGGCTTTGGGAGGACAGCAGGGGACCTGGTGTCCCAGAGTGGCTGGGAGCTCAGCCTTCAGCCCCTGGCCCATCAAGACCCCCCTGTGCGAGGTGGGTTGGGAGGGTAAGCAGGGCTGGCAGGGCTGGGGGCAGGCCCCCGAGGCTCATGGTTCTGGCTGTGCCTCCCCCCGGCCCCCCGCCAGTGGACAGGTGCTGGGCCGCCGGTCCTTTGAGGGCCGCATCTGCGCCTGTCCTGGCCGAGACCGCAAAGCTGATGAAGACCACCAGCGGGAGCAGCAGGCCCTGAGCGAGAGCGCCGCAAAGCACGGGGCGGCCAGCAAGCGTGGTGAGCGGCCCGGGCCGGGGCATGGGGGCGGGCCACGACGGCAGGCAGGGCTGGACCCCTCGGGGCACGAGCCGTGGCCGCCCCGGCTCCGCTCCATCCAGCGCGGCCCTGCCCTGGGTCAGCCCCTCCTGAACGGGTTACCGGTCTCTGGGCGGCTCACACCGGGTGGCAGGTATCCTGCCGGCCTGACCTGCGTGTGGCCTGCCTTCCCTTGCAGCCTTCAAACAAAGCCCCCCTGCCGTCCCTGCCCTGGGCACCAACGTGAAGAAGAGGCGGCACGGGGACGAGGACGTGTACTACATGCACGTGAGTGTCCTCTGTCTGCAGAGCCTGTGTGCTGGGGCAGCTGGGGGCAGGCAGGGAGTGGCCCTGGTGTGCTCAGAGCTGAGACCCTGGGCTCTGCAGGTGGCGGGGGGGCACCCAGGAGAAGCAGCCCCCAGGCAGCCAGACTGCGGGGAAGTGACTCTGCGTGCTGCTTCCTGCCAAGCAAGAAGTCCCGCTGAGACGGGGCGGGGAATGCAGACCCCTCCAGGGGACAGTGCGTCAGGGGTCACGGAATCCTGAAGTCTGTGACCCCAGGTTATATGGCTGTCACCTGGGTCAGATGACCCACCAGCTTTGCTAGGACGGCTCTTCCGTTATGTAACCCTGATTCCAGAATGAGTCCCTGATCCTCAAAGCCTCGTGTTTGGCGGGAGCCCCCGCCCCAGCAGCCTGCGTGTGCAGAGCCCCGGGGGCGGGAGGAACGGTGGGCGCTCACCGGGCCCCAGACCTGCTCCAGGGGAAGAGGGGAGAAGCGGGGGGGCTCCCTGGCCACAGGGTGCTAGGGGGCTCGGTGGCAGGCCCCCGAGACCCCCAGAGGCGCCGTGCAGAGGGTCCCCCTGTCTGTGCTCAGGTGCGGGGCCGAGAGAACTTTGAGATCCTGATGAAGGTCAAGGAGAGCCTGGAGCTGATGGAGTTGGTCCCGCAGCAGCTGGTCGACACATACCGGCAGCAACAGCAGCTCCTGCAGAGGCCGTGAGTACGCCCCCTGGCCGGACCCCCACCAGGACAGGCCCCCAGGGCCCCCGCTCGGCGGCCCTCCTCCCGGGAGCCTTCCGTGCACGGCTCCGCCCCTCCCACGGGGGGCCTCCTGAGTGTCCACTGACTGCAAGGCGGGGGGTTAGCAGGCGGCCCCACTGGCGGATTCCAGCGGTGGGAGCTGGCTCTGTCCTCCCCGCTGGAGGGCAGGCCAGGGGCTGTCTGGCCCAGGTCTGGGAGGGAACGCGGGCGAGGAGGGAGGCCCCCAGCAGCACGGGGCGTTGTGTGGAAATAACCAGGAGCTGTGGCTGTCTGAGCAGGAACCACCTGCAGCCTGCCTCCTACGGGCCGGTCCTCTCGCCCATGAACAAAGCCCACGCGGCCGTCAACAAGCTGCCCTCCGTCAACCAGCTGGTGGGCCAGCCGCCCCCGCACAGCTCTGCGGCCGGGCCCAACCTGGGGCCTATGGGTGAGTGGCCCGGGTTGGGGGGTTGCAGAATGGGCTGGGGAGGCACAGAGGGTAGGTCTGGCTGCAGACCCTGCTGCCCAGCTCGGGGCTCTCGATGACTGCCTCCCATCGGCAGCTCCTGTCCCCGGGCGGGAGGCACAGCCGTGGACAGTCCCCTCTGTCCGCTCCCCACCGTGGGGAGGTCTGCACCGTGCTAGCTTCCCGGTCGTGCAGAGTGGGGGACGCCTGACCCGGCTGGCCTTGACAGTCCGGCTTGCCCTCTCCTAGGCCCCGGGATTCTCAACAACCACGGCCACGCCCTGCCGACCAGCGGCGAGATGAACAGCAGCCACGGCGCCCAGTCCATGGTCTCAGGGTCCCACTGCACCCCACCACCCCCCTACCACGCCGACCCCAGCCTGGTCAGGTGCGTGGGCTGTCCCGCCTGTCCTCAGGCACTCCGCTGCATGTCCGAGCATGGATAGCGGCGGGGGGAGGTCAGGAGTGAGCACCCAACAGGTGCTCGGGAGAAAGCACGAAACACGGGACTTCCTGGCGTGGCCACGGGCGGGCAGGGGCGCCAGGCCACACAGCTGAGCGTGTGCTTGGAAGTGAGAGCCGCTCCACCCCTGCCTTCTCCCCGCAGTTTCCTGACAGGACTGGGGTGTCCAAACTGCATCGAGTACTTCACGTCCCAGGGCCTACAGAACATTTACCACCTGCAGAACCTGACGATAGAGGTAGGCGCCCTGCCCACAGACCAGAGCCCAGCGCCCTGGCCCACTTTCGGGGCTCTGCTTCCTGCTCTCTCCGAGGGAGGCGGAGTGGGGAAATCTGGGAAAACCCTTCTTCCCGAGACCCAGCCCAACGTCCTCTCTCACGTCTGGCTTCCTATCGAGTCAGCTCTCGAGGCGTGGGTGTGGTCGGCTGCCCAGGCAGTGGCTGGATGGGACCCCCGCCGGGGCCCCTGGCAGCGGACTGCTCACGTGGACCCAGAGGCCCGGCTGCCTTTGATTTGGGGGACAGGCTGTTCCCAAAGCACAGAGAGTTGCCAAGGCCGGAAGGGTCTTGGAGCTGGTGCAGCTCTCCACTTACATGGGAAGAAACTGAGGCCCACAGGAGGCAAGACATGTCCTGTGTGTCCTGGGTTCAGATCGTGCCAGGCTAGAAGCAAAGGGCCATGGCTCATCTCTGGGTCAGACAAGACACCAGCAGCGAGTCCCTCCTGAACTGTGACAGACGTCACTTGCTCGCAGCCTAGGGCTACCTTGAGCTGTAATGCATGGTTAGCCAAGGGAAGCGCAAGCCTCGAGAGCCCTGAGACGCAAGGGCAGCCCCAGATCCCCGGGGGGGTTCCAGCTCAGCGGCCGGAAGCCTCCCGAGCCCCCGCTCTCCAGCTTGGTGCTCGGCTCCCGCCCAGGGCTGCGGGCCCGTCGCAGGCGCCGGGGCCAGTCACTGGGACGGACGCCCTCCCCCTCCCTGTCCCCACCGGCCCCTGCCAGGCTAGTTCAGTGCATGGTAAGTGCCCCTCACCCACGCGAGCCCTGTGCCTGGCATGGCGGGGGAGGGCGCGGGGGCTCGACCATCTGCTCCGGCCCCCACGGGGCCTGCTGTGGAGGGGCGCGGTCCGCAGAGCCCAGGAATGGCTTCACCCCTACACGCACGCGCCCGTTCTTGGCTCCGGTCACGGAAGGCCACGGTCTCACGCATGCAGCACTGGCTGCCCCTGCCCCGTCCACGGCGGGGGTGGGGGGCGCGGGGCCGGGCCTCCTGACGGTGGCACGCCCGCGGCTCGTGCAGGACCTCGGCGCCCTGAAGATCCCGGACCAGCACCGGATGACCATCTGGAGGGGCCTGCAGGACCTGAAGCAGAGCCACGACTACGGCGCCCAGCAGCTGATCCGCTCCAGCAGCAACGCCTCGACCATCTCCATCGGCAGCTCGGGGGAGCTCCAGCGGCAGCGGGTCATGGAGGCCGTGCATTTCCGCGTGCGCCACACCATCACCATCCCCAACCGCGGGGCTCCGGCCGGGGGCGCGGGGCCTGACGAGTGGGCCGACTTCGGCTTCGACCTCCCGGACTGCAAGTCCCGAAAACAGTCCATCAAAGAGGAGTTCATGGAGAGCGAGATTCACTGAGGGGCCGGGGTTCGCAGGAGAGTCGGCGCGGAGGGCACGGGCAGGGTCAGTGGCGGCGGCCGGGGCCCGGAGTCCCCGGAAGCCGTGTTTGGTCTCCTCTTGCTTTTTGGCAAAGACTGCCGAGGGAGGCAGGACCCGCAGGCTATGCCCGGGGAAAAGGCGAGGTCCACCCTGCAGCACCCTGGACGGCGGGATTGCTGTGCCCGGGGGGTGCCCCCGAGGGCCGGCGCCCCCCGCCCCCCAAGGCCTCGTCCTCCTTAGGGCTCTGCTGCTCCCCAGCGAGGTCCTTCGGAATACAAGGGTCACCTCTGCTGATGGACTGCCAAAAAGTATTTCTCGAAGTCTTTTGGTTCCTGGCAATGAGCGGCCCTGGGTTTGTATCTAAAACATGTTTATTTGGGGGTCGATGCTTCAGACCCTGTTTCTGCTCAAGGCTGGGTCCGTCTGCTGGACTTGAGGGTCAGTCTGTCCCTCTCACTTCAAACCCCTGCAGCTACCTTCCACTTCCTGCCCAAAGAGGAAAGCCAGAACCTCCCTGGAATTGGAAGGGCCTAGGAAGGAGTGCGTTTGCCGCGTCTGTGGTCCCTCTTGGGAGGCAAGGACACTTCTGGTCAGTTGCCACCAGCCAACACCCTGGCCACAGCCGCCTCCGTTCGGTGACCTTCTCGGCACAGACGTGGACAGCATGCTCATTAGACTACTGGAAATTGTCGATATTTGATAAAATGATACCCTTTGTACTTGGTGGGTCAGCCTTTATTTTATTTTTTGCTTTCATTCTTAACATTCCCTTCAGGGTTCAACCCGTCGGCATTGCTGGCTTCCCAGCAGAGGGCAAGCCAGGCGAGGGCCAGCTTCTCGCGCCCAGATGCCAGACGGGGCCGTGGAGGGGCAGGGCAGGTCCGCCCGCTGTTTGGCTGCAACGTTCTCCACTTGGGACAGCTCTGCTCCGTTGGCGACACTGGCAAATTGGGAGCAGGGCAGTGGGTCACCTTTCTCAGGGCCGTGGGGAGAGCCCTTCCCAGGCAGAGGGAGCATTCGGCAGGAAGGTGCACCCGTTGGGGCTCAGAGGAAGGCCCGGTGCTGGGAGGGCCCTCCTGGCCTCCTAGGGATGGCACTGAGGCAGGGGGCAGGGGTGCAAGCCTTCATGAGGCTCCCCAAGGCATCAGCGGGCTGGGCGCAGGCGTGGGGCCATTTTCATTTGCAAGGAACCTCACGAGTCCTCAGGGCAGCACACTGACAGACCGAGCGCACTGTCCAGGGCAGGACACAGGGCCACAGAGAAATGCGGGCAATGGGTAACGAGGCAAACCACCTTGTTCCAGGCAGGCGGGATGAAGGGACAGCGGAGACTCGCCCCGCGTGCGGGCGTGTGGCACTTCCCAAGCACAGCCTGCTCCCTCGCCGCGCCTGCGGAATGTGTGGGTCCTCTGCCGATGTCCCCACTGAGGCAGGTAAGCCTCCAGGCCACGGGGAAGGTGTAGACACAGCCCTCAGCACCCTTCGGGTTTGCTCTCGTTGCCCTGGGCCCCCGAGGAGAAGCCTTCCTCTCTGGAGAAGGCAGGACGACTCTTCAGGCCGCGTGTTCAGAGATGGCTGTTCAGAACTCCAGCCCCGTCCCTTTCCACGCTGGACGAAGAGTGGGTGCTAAAATGCCGGCTTCCTTCTTCCGTGTCAGCCCTGGGAAGGGGGAGTGGTGTTCCTCGCTGCATGGTGGTTCAGAGACTGGCCAGCAGGGGAAGGGAGCCCCAGTTGGCCTCGGGGCCGTGTCCAGACCAGGACTTCACCCTGGAGGGTCGTGCTGTTCTCGTCCTCAGTCCACACTGACGTGAAAGCATGCTGTGAGCGCCGCGTCTGGGGTGACGCGGCCATCCCTCCCCCTCCACCGTGCACCCAGGAGGCTCTGACCCCCAGCCGGGGCTAACCCGGGGAAACAGAACCAGCTCGTTCCAACGGGCAGCCCAGAGGGGCTCCGTGTGCACGGGGATCTGCAGTCTCCCCAAGGTACGCGCTGCGCTAGAGGCCCGCAGTCACGGGCCACAGACTCAGGGCCACTGGGGGCCGTGTGCGGCTGCCCATGTGCCCCCCCGTTTTCTCATGTCACCCCCCACACACACACACACACAGCGAGGCTGGGGAAAGAAGTACCCTGCTCGTGCCGGTTTGCCAATGAGCAAATAGGCGAAGTCCTGCTTCTTGGGCTTCAAGGCTGGGCTAGACTCCAGCACTCGCTCCTGCAGCCACATGCTGGGACTCCCAGGGGTGCCCCCTTGTTCCACCTCAGGCACTGGGACCCATCCCCCAACTCCCACAGACCCGGCTGGATGCGGGCAAGCCCAGGCCCCCGGCTGTCTCCGAGGCGCCCTCCTGGGGGCCTGAGTCCAGCAGGAAATGCCACAGGGGCCCCCCCAGGTACCCTGGAAAGGGCTGGTGCAGGGCAGGCAGAGCCCCAAACATCGAGGCGGGAGGGAGGAGGTCGTCCTCCCGTGGGGGCCCCAGGCTGCGCACGCTGTCCTGGAGCCTTTCTCCCACTGTGCTGGAGGGTGAGCGCCTTTGGGGAGAACAAGCCACGAGAATCAACGGCGTAGAAACTCGGCCCTGCTTAGGAGAACCTGCAAACTGACAGGAGCAACACTCCTGGTTTGAAACTCCGGTTCTACGGAACTCAAGAATCAAGAACGAATAAACCCTGAAGGTGTGGGGTTTTCCAGCGGTGAAGAGGCGGGAGGGAATGCTCTGGATGGGAAGCAGCCCAGAGAGTGAGATGGATCACGCGTCCACACCGACACCAGCCGGCCCGAGCTCAGGCCAGAAAGCGCGCTGCTGGGGGTGGGGGGGGCCCTGTCCCGCCCCGCGCCCCTCGCTGCCCCCACAGGCTTGGCTGTGTGCAGAGCTTCGTCAGCAGGGCTGGGCTGCTGGGGAGCGGTCATTTCCGCGGCCCAGGCCCCCAGCATGCACGGATCAGGGACAGGTCAGCATCTCCGATGCAGACAGCCACTTCTCTGTTTCCATAGGGTAAAGCACTTTAACGCTTTAAGGTTAAAAAACCATATATATATCACCCACATTTTTAATGTAATTGATGCGTCTTCAAGCAGTATTAATGGATCTATTCCAATGATATTAACTTTTTTTGGTAATGTAACCTTGGGAAAATGTGTTATTTTTTTAGCTGTGTTTTGGCGGGAAATTTTGTTTTTGTAACATAATAAAGCGCACGTTCTGAAGGCTGTCTCTGAGTAACTCAGACGAGGAAGATAACGTGTGCGCGCAGGGAGCTCCCAACAGGTAGGGGGACCTACAGCCTCCATGCCGGGCTCGAGCAGCCCCACTGGGCTTCTCCCGTGTTTTCAGCGGGGTGAGGCTGTGGGCACCGCAGAGCCGCGAGCTCAGGGCTGCCTGGGGTCACAAGAGCGAAAGCTGCCTGACCTCACAGGCCTTACTGTGGCCTCGGCCTCCGGAACCCTCATCCAAGGGGGGGCCGGAGGTCTCGACTTCAGAAAGGTTACACAGGACACGGGTAGACCACGAATACCCTCCCAGCTGCCTGGAGGCGAACACGTTCACGTTTCTCTGCAAAACTTAGAGCACAGAAGACAGCAGAGAGCTTACGGCCGCTCAACTCAGGCTGGAGGCCACGTGAGCTTCCGTTCTTCCAGTTCTCGGCTTTCTGGATTTCCGGGCTGTAGGACACAGGGGCCCTGCCCCAGCAAAACAGGCCTCGCGGTGCAGCGTCAGGGCGATCAGAGTCTATGTCTCAAGGCTGGTGGACACCACGGTTTGGTCACTGGAATTACACCACATGACTCGCTGCAGAGTGTCCACCCAGCGGTCAGGAACAGCGACAAGACTGCCATTTGTGACGGCACGGACTCTGAGTGGGGTGCTGCGAACCCAGCAGGAGCTCCCATTCCTATGACGTGGCAGGGTCACGCAGCTCCAAGTGGCCGAGCCAGGGCAGGAACCCCGGGGAGTGGCTTGAGTCTATGTGGCCTCTACAAATGACCAAATATGGTCTAATATTCTTAGATCACCAAAACGTAAATGCCGAGTTAGGAAATGTTTGCAGAAAAATCTCAGATCTCAAAGGACACTCCAGCTTGAGAAGCACAGTGGCCCCCTTTGTAGTTAAGCCTTCCTGTCTCCGAATGGCCAAGAGATCAGTCCCCAGGTGAGGTGGCACTCTGGGAGAAGCACTATCCGTGTTCTTCGGAAACAGTCCCGGGAGTACTTCCAGAACTTCTTTCCCATAAGTAATGGTCAGCCCACAGTTTCTGAATAGAAACGTTATGTCTTAAGAGCCATAGGTCCGTGGCGGCTCACCCTAGGGATCTCAAAATGGCTTTTTATATGTTTAGAAATTAGTGCCCATTCTATCATTTCCAGGAAACTGAGGGGCAAGGGGGTGGGGAACATGCCCAGCTTACTCAGTGGGGCAAACGTTACCCTGATACCAAAACCATATAAAGACACCATAAAAAAGCTATAGACAAACCTCTCTCATAAACACAGATAGAAACATTCTTTTTTTTTTTTTTTTAAGATTATTTATTTATTTATTTGACAGAGAGACACAGCGAGAGAGGGACCACAAGCAGGGGGATCGGGAGAGGGAGAAGCAGGCTTCCCGCCGAGCAGGGAGCCCGATGCGGGGCTCGATCCCAGGACTCTGAGACCGTGACCTGAGCCGAAGGCAGATGCTTAACGACTGAGCCACCCAGGCGCCCCCAGATAGAAACATTCTTAACAGGAACTTAGCAAATGGAACTCAACACTATATTAAAAAGGGTAATACAGCACGATCAAGTGGGCTTCTCTCAGGAATGCAAGGCTGGCTGGATATTAGAGGATCAATCATTCATCGTCTCAACTGATGCAGAAAATGCATTTGATAAAATTCAACATCCACTCATCATAAAAACTCTCAGCGAAGTAGGAACAGAAAGCAAATTTCCCAACCTGACAGGACTCAGAACTGGCACCGTACTCGTGGTAAAAGACGAAGGCCCCCACCCTAAGACTGGACACAACACAAGGCTCTTCTCCGTCCTATTCCACATCATAGGACAGGCCCCTGCCAGTACAATCAGACAAGAAAAAGAAAAACACACCAGCTAGAAAGAAAAGAAGAAAATCATCTCTACAGAGAATCGACAACAAAGCTAATGAATGGAACACGGGAGTTTAGCAAGGTCATGGAATACAATTTTTTGTGCAAAAATCAATCGTATTTTTATACACTAGCAATGAAACAATGGAAATAGAAAATTAAAAAACCGTTAACCTTAAAACTAAAACTGCCAGTTATTTTACCAGCAAAGGATGGGTTTTGGGGGAACAGCAGAGAACTGCCATCTGGGACAAGCAGGTGATGGGGAAACCACAGGCGGGTCTGGAGAACAGAGGAGAAGTACACTTTATAAAGGAACAGAGAGCTGGGAGGGCTGTGGTAAAGGAAAGGTCCGCTGAAGCAAACTGGGAGCTCAGAGTGTTAGGGGCTTCTCACTGTCTGCACTGTGACAGACTCTCACCGGCTGGGCTTCCGGGGAGGGGGCGAGGAGACCCTCCTTCCTCCCGTCCACGTGCAAGGTGCACTCTTGGGCAAGAGCAGTAGGGTGTGGGACTCCATTTCAGTGGGGTTTCCCTTTATGAATCTCCACAAAAGTAACAGTTACAATAGCACCAAAAACATCTGACA